ATAATCCTAGGAAATTTTGGAAAGCCATAAAATCGCTATCCACCGGTGAGATCCGAAATGAGCTACCTCCGTGCATTACCACAGCATCTGGCTCTATATCGGACAGGGCTACTATGTTAAATTGTTTTAATGAGCATTTTGTGTCCTGCGGTTCTATGTTTGATTCTGTGACTAATTCTGCTACTGTGAACACCACAGTCTGTGACTCTGAACAATGTGGTCTGGAAAACACTTTCAGTTTTACTCCTTTTACTGTAAATGTTGTTCATGAAGCTTTATCTAAGTTAGATCCTAAGAAACCGGCTGGCCCGGACAACGTAGAACCTTTCTTTTTAAAGATAGCTGCAGATTTTATTGCTCCACCCTCTCACTACTCTTTTTAACCTCTCCCTCAGCACAAACACAATTCCTAAAGTATGGAAGTCAGCTTATGTCCTGCCACTACTAAAAGGAGGGGAGGCAACTGTTTTAAATAACTATAGGCCAATCTCGAAATTGTCAGTTCTGGCTAAGGTTCTTGAACGCCTAGTGAGTGAACAGGTAAAGGAGTTTTTATGTAACAATGACATTCTGTCTAAACATCAGTCAGGCTTCAGAAAGCAACATAGCACCATCACTGCCACAATGAAAGTGGTGAATGACATTACAAGTATTTTGGATAAAAAGCAGAGTTGTGCAGCTCTATTTATTGACCTTTCCAAAGCGTTTGACACAGTCGATCATCACATCTTAAAGCAGAGGCTACTCAGTATTGGCTTATCCAGCCATGCAGTGGAGTGGTTTGTGAACTACCTCTCTGAAAGGTCCCAATGTGTTCACTTTGATGGGCTGTCTTCTGAGTGGTTGAACATTGCTAATGGTGTTCCTCAAGGTTCTGTTTTAGGTCCACTTTTATTCTCCATCTACATCAATAGTTTAGGTGAAAATGTGGATGAAGCTACTTTGCATTTTTATGCGGATGACACCGTGATGTACTGTGCAGGTCCCTCCATTAAGGAGGCGGTTGTTAAATTACAGGCTGTTTTTAACATTATTCAGACTCAGCTCTCTGAACTAAAGCTTCTTTTAAATGTTGAGAAAACCAAAGTAATGCTCTTTTCTAAAGCTAAAAAGACTCCAGAGACTGCTTTGGATATTGTGACTATGCAAGGACAAGTACTCCAAGTGGTTAGCTATTATAAATACCTTGGTATCTGGCTTGATGATTGTCTTACTTTTAAACTTCAGGTCACTAATCTGCTTAAAAAGCTGAGGGTTAGATTAGGTTTCTTTTTCAGAAACAAGTCCTGTTTCTCTTTTGAAGCCAGGAAAAGGCTAGTCACTGTGACCTTTTTACCTGTGCTAGACTATGGTGATTTGTTGTATATGAATGCACCTGCCCATTGCCTGGAAAGGTTAGATGCCGCCTATCACAGTGCTCTGAGATTTGTTACTAACTGTAAAGTACTTACTCATCACTGTACCCTGTATGCCAAGGCAGGTCTGCCTTCACTTACTGGTCGGAGGCTCAGTCATTGGTACATGTTCATCTACAAAGCCATGCTGGGTAAACTACCGACTTATATATGCTCTTTGATCTCACGGACAGTGGCAAGTAGCTATTGCCTGAGATCACAGGATGTGTTTTTATTACATGTGCCAAGTGCTAGGACTGTTTTAGGTGCTAAAGCTTTTATGTGCGCTGCTCCTCTGGCTTGGAACACCATGCAAAAAATATTGAAACTGAGCATTTTGATTCCCTTGCATCGTTTTAAAGCACGGCTGGATGAAATATTATTGGATACCTGTAAATGTAAATAGGTTGCTAATGTATACCCCTGTAATTATGTTGTGATGTCCTTTTGTTTTCTGTTTGTTTTTATATGTGTAACTAAATGTGCCGCAGGTCTCCCTTGTAAAAGAGATCGTTGATCTCAATGGGATTTTTTAACCTGGATAAATAAAGGAAAAAAAAAAAAAAAAAAAAAAAAAAATGCCACATTTCATCAGGTCATCAATAAGGGTGACACCAATCATCATCAGCTGATATTGATCCTAAATAGTTTATTTGGATGTCTCTTAAAAGCCCGATCAGATGATCTAAAGACGCATATGGAGTTACTGTAGATGAGAAGACTGAGTCCACTGGTAGCACGTCTGTCTGCTAAATATTAAACTGGAAGGCGTGGCTTTCAGTCTTTCTGAAAAGCTAAGCTAACTATCTAGTCGCTGTAGCTTCATATTTAAAAGACATACAGGAGAGATCTCTTCTAACTCTCAGCAAGGAAGTACATTAAGATAACATTAAAACGTAATAAGGAGACACTATTTCAATGTTATCTTAATCAAGTCTTGGGAGTCATGAATAGCATTCCAAGACCTTATGTCCGGCAAATGTGTGAATAACAATTCTCCACACGACTAAAACAGACAGGACATTGATTGGCGACCAGCAATTAAAACAAGACACAAACCGATGAAAAGGTTGCAAAGGAGAGGTGGTCAAGAAAGGAGAGAGAAGGAAAGAGGATGAAAGGCTAGTCCAAGGAGTGTGGGGGGTGGGGGGTTTGGGCCATTACATCACTGCTGCAGTGGCTGACAACATGAACATTACTAACTCTCTCGCTGTCTCTACAGTCTAAAGGTAATGCCATCCAACAGCTTACGTCTCACTTTCTTCTGCTTTGCTTTTGTGTATCAAAAATAAAATACATTTTAGCGTGAAATCTGAGTATGACCTCATACAGAAAAAAATGTAGGAATAGTATATTTTTCTGATAAGATGCTCCAACTCCACCTCCAAATGGAAGGCTCTATGAGATTTGAACATACGTTATTGTACATGATTTACGTTTATTACTGTAATTATTCAGAATTTCTTGATAGCATTTGAAACCCTCACACTGCTCACATTTCTAATGCAGTACTGTTGAATAAGCTAACACATCCTCTGATGTTTTCATTACTCAAGGAAAATACAATCATCAATAATAAATTGCACATTTAGGCTGTTATTTTGTATGTACACACATAGATTTTCTTCACTATACACCCCCCAAAACAAGATCACGGTTTCTAGTTTCAAGTTGCTGGGAACATTTGTATTTTCAGGTCATAAAGTAAATATAATTTGTTGAAGGCTAAAATGTAAACAAAGGGAAAAATACCCGGGTCAGGTTCTTTACTGGTTCAACCACCTCCATCACACATAAGGGCTTAGTAGGAGTAAGGAAAGGCTGAACAAACATGAGAAGGTCAAACTGATCTGACGGGAGATGCCACAGACATTATCCCTCATGAGGACAGCGAGGGGAAACAGACCGAGGAAGGCTAACATGTTATCACATCAGATGACTTATTCTGTTTGAATGTGCCCATTGTCATAAACGTATGAAGTGCACCCTGTTACTTCATGCTGAATGTTGCTGTGAATGTGTTTAAAATAAAAAGGGGAAAGAGCGGTGGGGGGTACAAATAAGCCCCAAGAAAGAGCGTAAATGTCCATTGTGTCCGAAACATAGAATTACCACAACCAAATCAGTCCCATGATGCATGTGGACACAAGAATACAAATTCCTACTGACTCGCATGGATAAAGACAAAAATATATGCATAATCAGCTATTTCCCAGTACGAAAAATGTAATATGCCTAATTTCTTATCATTAGGTCCTAAAGTGGTAAATTCCAAAAATATTGGAGTAGAGAATTATCTTCCTCGACATAGAGAACTGCTGTTCATGTGAAGGAGCCAAGATAGAGAGGTCGGTAGGTGGGGTTGAAGTTAATACTAGTGGGCATACAGATGCAGAACATTCAGGTCATTTTATACACAAGGCATTTTGCTTCATGTGCTACTGAGCAAATTTCCTAGAAATGATCAGAAAACCGCCTTCAACAATGTATTCTGTTCTCTTTATACATCTATGGGTACAAAGGAGCTGAATGATCAATATCTAATGTAGTTATGCATATTTGAGACATCAGTGTGAAAGACTGCCAGTGAATACTGTCACCTGTAGTCAGTTAGGACTATCTAAAAAGTCAATTCAATATGAGCAGTCTCATTGATGTACTGTCAGTGATGAGGAAGCTGCTTAGAGCAGGGATCCTCAACAGTTATGGCGCAAAGACTGAGTTCGTATTGACAATATTGTTGTGCAGCTGCCAATGCTTGTAGGTTGAGGTGCGTGGGGGACAATAATTGACATCAAATGTTATAAAACCATTGTAAGGACTGTTATCTTCCCTACCTCCTCCAAAGACACTCTTGAGCAATCAAGGTTGTTTTTGTTCTTTTTATTTTACCAAGTCTTAATGACCTATACAAACTAATCATCTACCCGTGGTCATTATTCCCTAACCAAGCCTGATTTTGCTCCTTTACACAAAGGGATCAAATGGCAAAACATCTGAAGCTATTTTGTACTTTCCCCTAATAATAATAATAATAATTTGTCACGTCTAATTAACAGAGAGGTGACCAGACATTGGACAAAGAGGATTCATCTACAGTGTCTCAAATAGTGAGGATATCGCGGCTTTCCACTCTGCCCCTGAACCATGTGAAAGTGAAAATGACTGTCTGGCAGTGTCTAGACATTCATGTCTCACACACACATGCACGCACAAACCCCCAATAAACCCTGCTGTTTCCACATAAATACACACACTTAACAAAAAAATGACTAAACCAATTTAAAATATAAATCCCCATACTCTGTGTCTTGAATGATTGATATTAACATACAAACAAACATATGGTTACACGCAAACACACATTAGTCAGGCTGACAAGGTGACAGGGAGAGATGGATAAGCAGGTGGGTCGAGCGAGTTACATCTGTTTCACTGTCCTTCAGTAAAATGACAAATGTATCGGTATGACAGCGGCACGGTGACGCAGCATCTTTGCAGCAGAACCCAAAGGCATATGCAGGAAAGAGAGGAGGGTGGGGGGGCGGAGGATGAGATGACAAAACAAAAGCGATAGGGGGCGGGGGGAGATATTGAGAGACTCACCTGGCTAGATGGGATGTTGTCAACGGCTCAGAAGAAAGGCTAACATCCGAGACCTGAAAGGGTGAGAGAGGACAAGCGGGAAGAACAGTAGTGAGGGGGGTGGAGAGAGAGAGAGGGAGAGAGATTAGATTTGGCTGGCAGGTGGCACCTTGGTTAACACACACACACACACACACACACACACACACACACACACACACACACACACACACACACACACACACACACACACACACACACACACACACACACACACCCACCCACACACAAACATGGTCTGTATATCTTTGAGACAGATGGAAAGGAAGGGGTGGAGGGCAAGGTGAGAGCAGCTGAGGAGGAAGAGTAGGTCTCAAAGCGGTTTCCAATCAGTAGCGGATCTAAAGGAAGGCCAGTGCTATCACACAGCTGGAAACCGCAGAGTCGGGAAACACACAGAGTAAGACATGAAGTGACAACAAGAAAGGAAGAGCTCACAGTGTGTGTGACGTGTGTGTGACGTGTGTGTGCGTGTGCGTGTGTGTGTGATGCCACATGTGCAGGGGTTCATTAGCACACTTCACAAGTCCATCAAAGGTTAAAAGAAAACATGAAGCTCTATTAACAGATACGAAAGAGCATACAAGCAGACACACACACTACTTGGCGTTAGTCCAAGAGCCACAGTGTGAACTGAAGGACAACGTGTGGACACTGTGTGCAACTATGGGGGTCTCAGTAAGAGGGCATTGACTTCATGTCAATGTGAATAGCACTCAACTAGTGATAGACTACATAAATGATCAATGTCAAAATACTAAGCAGCAAGACATTTCCATTACTTTGCTGTCCAAATTGATCATAGGAAAGGACAAAAATATGTTTTCTATTACTTAATCCTGATGGTTAGTGGTTACTGTAAGGTAGTCCCAGTGTAGGGAGAGTTAGATGTTAAAAGGGCACACACTTCCTTATTTTACGACCTTTTCATCATTATCTCATTAGATGATTACAATACACAGATATTTTCACATCTGGATTGAAGTAACCCAATATGTCGAACAACAGTTTTGTTAAAATTGTCATGTTGGCTCCTTCCCCCCTCAAGTTATTTTTAGTTGTGTGTATAAGCCTTTACACATCAGGGTATAGCAGGTGTAAAACAATGAAAGAAGACCACACTTCATTGTGAAGGACCAGCATCAACAGAAAGGTGACATGTTACTGTACAGTAGTGCAGTGGGAGGAATTAGCCATGGATACAAATATCAGTGATAATGTATGGTGTTGATAAAAAAAGATACAAAATAATCTATAGAAGCCTCCCTAGTTGAAAGTAGAATATTCAGCCTGAACTGCTGACTCAACTACAGCCAAGACAAGGTCCCTTCATAGTATCATTTATTAGTTGTGAACATCAAGGACACCCACCTCTAGAAAAACTTTATATTGAATGCTTGCAATCTCATTAATCAGATAGTAACACAAGGACCATGGACACAACAAACACACCAATAAAGCAGTGATTACACACAATGAGCTTGTCGATAATAGCATGGTACACAAACTCGTAAAGTAGCAACAAAGGTGTGTTTTCTTTCAATAAAATTGCTGATTTAACACATTGTTGCATTTGCCTCTTAAGATATTATATTACAAGTTGATCAACAAGATGCTTGTTTAAGCTTAACTTAAGTTGGTCCTAGGGAGTAACCCTAACTACTAGTTACTTAGCCTTGTAGCAATGGCCACTGCCTAACCAAAAAGGCCACAAGCATAAATACTCCACCCTCAAAAAACAAATGCATAGACAGACACACAAGCTGTCAATTTTCTTTCATGTCAATCAGACCACTTAAGACACAAGTGGTCACTACTGTGCTGTGATCATCCAGCCTCAAAGGAGTATCAAATACCCTGCAGTGTCCAACATGTATTTAAACTGCCTGGTTTCTCTTTTCACTGCTACCTGTAGCCGCGTACCCACACAAACACGCCTTCTTCTTTCTGTTTCTTTATTTATCAAAAAGCCATGTCAGTCTTAGCAAAACATGTTGTCTACTTTCCCATTTATGCTGAATCGTGTACCCCTAAAGGAAAGGTTAATAGGGTTAGATACAATGCCACATAAGGCCAGCAGGGGGAGCACTTGAGGTCTTAGGTATGCACATACAGTAAAGCATGAATTAACTCTAGCCATTACACTGCTGCTGTAAAGAGAACATTTGAAATATAAACATATCGTGTCTGTTGTAACATGCAGTGATATTTATTCACCTCAATTGTTGCCCAGTGTTTAAGATAAAGGCCATAGACTTGACTGTCTTTCTTCAAATATAATGAAACTAGATGGTCCTTTACTAGTAGTGCTCAAAGCACCAAAAAGTACTCATTGTCAGTGCTTGTTCCACAGCTTCATCACACTAACGCCACTCTGCATCTGATCAAAACAACGACAGCTTTTCAGGAACACAACAATTCCTAAGGCTTTGCACCATTATGGCACAGTGTCTGTCTAAATTCCCATCATCATTTAAAATGTCAACTCAATGTAATGTCTTGTTGTCGTAAGACCACACTATTCGTATAGCTACATAACGAACAACCTATATTGTTTGTGATACAGAACAAACATACATTCGGATAACAGAACACGTGTTTATGCCTACTTGGTTGCCCTTTGCAGTTCACTTCTGATCCATTAAACCTTACAAGTCACCTGACACCTCAGCGGGCTGCCTGGCTCAGCTTCCTGTCTGCCCTGCTGTTATAAACAAGAACTATTTTTTATCTGATTAAATGATTTTCGACAAAGGCGCTGGATTCCTCACATTACATAGAGCCTGATTAACCACTAAACCAATGTGATATTGGATCTGACAGATATTGCTTTATTGGTAATAACGTGTAATGAAAGCTCACAGGGTGCAAGATGTCTGAATATTAATTAATATTAAGTTCAATCGGTTAATTGTCTCGTCTATAAGAGTATGCAAAAGGACACCCACCCCCAAATGACAACATAAAACCATTTGCACAAATTGCTCCGTTATTTTGGATGACTGTCTTGTTGCCCCAACAGCTCAGCGGTGCTCTTTACTTGCCTGATTTGGACCGAAAACAACCAAAACAATGTATGAAAGGCTAATCCTTTTAGTATCCGGGCATTACTGAATTTAAGACTTATTTAAAATTAGAAGTTTGGTCTGAGGTGACCAAGCTTGGTTGTTGTGATGCGTTACCGAAACACAATTATCACATTAGCACTGGTATCAAACAATCTTAAATGATACAGTTGGGGATAGTTCAACTGTAATTGGAAAGAAAGAGGAAAACCTTTTTTATTTTTTAAGGAAGATGTAAAATGTCATATTTCTTTTAATCCAGCGAGTATCAGCTGAACCTTTCATGAAGTAAAAGGTAAGAGTCCGCCCCACTCATGACTTCAGACACACACAGACCAGTGCTGCACTAAGTGGGGATAACCAGGTGTCAGGACAAGCTCTACTGTTTGTCTTGTGTCCTACTTCTTTTCAATAAGTCCCCAAAGTGAACATTGTATAACTGAAATTGCAGCCATATTTATCCTTCTTCAACTGTACATCTGCCTCTGTTGTACAGTATGTGTGTTTACTGTATATGTCACTTATTGGGAACAGTGAGGCACAAGAAGCCAGATGGTTGGGTCCTCCAAGGCCTCTGTGGTCCGTTCTGAACCCACATCAGTCTCTATTCAGCTGGGGGGGGGGGTTGAGTGATGCTTCCCTGAACTGCTCAGCTGAAGCATAAACAACAAGATAATATGTGTATCCGTTTAAATTACATGCTGGTTAAATGAATGTTTAATTTTGCATTTTGATGTAATAACTTGAAAAATGAAGCTAAGTCTGGAACGATCAGGAGGGTTTATCTATGTTGCAATAGACAAGATGCAGTTTGAGTTATTGTGACATTAATTTGAACTGCAGGTGCAGGTTTCCATCCATCATTATCACACTGTTCAAAACCTTAAACATTCTACCTTGAATGGATATTTGTTTTTGTGTTTTAATTCAGGTGTTGTCTCATGTAAGGCAGTTTGATTGTTTATATGGGGGTTCTAAATAATAAAGATATCTGGGTCTGTATATCTGCCCTAGTTCAACATTCTGTCCTATATTCTTATATCATTAATTAACCCTTGAATCCAAGAACAAGAATTAATCCAGAGCAAAAGGCTTAAGAATGATGCAACGAATGGTGTAGGAAAAAAAGGAAAAAAAACATCTCACCATTCAAAAGGACACTTGTGTTAATAGTGAAACATTGTGTTTTATGAAACTCTTTTTCTCCAAATTATGGAAGCCTATTTTCTCTCCCTGTTCTATTCCTGTTTAATGCATTTCGTTTCTCTACTGTGTTTAAAAAAAGAGGGGCAAAAAAGTGAAAGTAATAACGAAGGCTTTACAGAGAATAAATGACCTACCTCGAATTCCGATTTTCTTTCTCTCTTCCTCCTCTATTTGCCTTTGTCACCGCTGTTATTATCTCACCCTCATATTGTCCCTCCCTCTGTCTCTGTCTTCCTGCCTTAGCAGCATTTCTCAACAGCCATGGTGAAAAAGAAGCCGCCATATGTATCATCACATGAGAAGCTCGCCCCGTCAGCGTCAGACGTTGTACAGCTTCAGATGGCGGTGCTCTTTACAACAGAGCAAGCGTTTTCACAGCTTCTTTATGAGTTAGCGTGGGCTGCAATATAAACAGCACCACTCAATTATACTACCAGCAGGAAAATCAACATTCGCCATTCTGTGATCTCGCACATACCAATAGTATAGTACAGTCCGTGCACACGCATATTCACAACGGCTCACTAGCAGACACATATGGACAGCTTGTGTTTGTGATCACTCGCTGTGTAGGTGGTTGCAGCTTTACTGCCATTGTTAAATCCGTGGCAAAAAACATATTTTATTACTGTTCACATTACACTTCTTTATTTTTTTTTGATAAATGCTTACGATAACAAAAACATGTTGTCACCTATGTACAGCCTTAATATAATGTGTCCTCTGACCTACATATAGTACAG